TGGTAGCAGGCACCTGTAGTCCCAGCTACTCAGGAGGCTGAGGCAGGAGAATGGCGTAAACCCGGGAGGCGGAGCTTGCAGTGAGCCAAGATCGCACCACTGCACTCCACCCTGGGTGACAGAGCGAGACTCCATCTCAAACAAAATTGCTAGTTATTTCAAACAGTTATGTTCAGAGCTAAGTGTAATATCTTTATATTCGATTTGCTTATGTCAGTTTGGATTTGTCAGCATTTTCCCAAGCTAGAAACTTAAAAGAATTCTAACTTTTAAACTTCCTTTATTCTGTAATCTAGTTTGCCATCAGCTGCAGTTCCTTGCATTGAAATGCCTTGGATTTGGCCTCCCGTGTCCCTGCACACACTGTCACTACTGTAATTCAGGCTCCCCCCACCTCCTTTGTGCATTGTTTACAAGGTTTCCTAGCTAGTGTCTCCAATTCCATTCTTTTTCTTTTATTCATTGTGTGCTGATCATTAACAGTCTAATCGCCTTGAAACCTAGCTTTCTAAAAATTTGATCTCTACTTAGAAGTTTTTAAGCTAAATCCAAATTGCTTCCCTCCTTCATCGTTTTCTTTTATAACAGGAATACTCTTCCTATTCCGTCTTTGTTTTTCTTTATTAATATAAATTGGCTGTCATAGAATGTGTTCTTCAATGCCCTATTTCCTGCTTATCACCAGTATAGAGGTACACACTGCACATTCCTGTCATAGAGACTTTTATCCTACTCTTCTTTAGTGCCCTCCAGTCCCTATCCTCAACCTGTTTTGGCCCCATCATTCCAGATCCTCTCATTCAAGGCCTAGCTTCTAAATTTCTTTCTTTTAGAACTTGACAACTCCTTCACATGTGTTTTTGTATCTATTCTAAATTATATTTTGAAGGAGTGTGGTGTAATGCTTTTTATTTTGGAGTCAGATAGGTGTGGGTTTAAACTTGATTTGGCCTCTTAACTTTTTGACCTTAAGCAAGTTAACCTTTCTAAGCTGTAATAGTAGAGTAATGCTTAGTATTAGAGTTCGTTGCTTGAGAGCAGAAACCCAGAATAATAGTATCATAAACAAAGTTGAAGTTTAATTTTCTCTCACATGAAGGAAGTCCAGAGGTGGGTAGTCCAGGGCCAGTATGGTAACTTCATGTTCATCTGGGATTCACACTTTTTTCCCCCTACCATTCTAGTGTGATTTCTATATCAAGATTGAGATTACCACATAGTCCAGAATGGCAGCTGGAGCTCCAGCTCTCATAGCTGCACTCCAGATAGAAGAAGGAGGGAGAGAATAAGGAAAAAGTGGCCTGCTTTTCAGCTCAGTTAGGTTTGTTTACCTAGCCTTCTGGAAGTCCCCTACAACCCTTCTGCTTACAAGCTCATTTTAGCTAGAACTTAGTCACATGACCACTACTTGCTGGGAACTTGCAGCTTGTTAGTTGGTACATTCCTGCACAAAGTAAAATTAGTGTTTTGTTACTAAGGAAGAAGAGGATAATGTGGCTACTGGCAAACTCAGCATAGTTAACTGTAGTGGTGCCTAGCACGTGGTAGGGCTTAACATGTATCTTTTTGCCTCTATTTTTTCTGTGGTCAGCTCAAATTCTTCTTTGTTTCAAGTATATCTTATTTTTCTAGCTACATTGAAAGTGTCTTGGGGGATAAGGACCATCTGTCATATTTCTTTGTTGTGCTTCTAAACACCTAACAGTGCTTGCACTTGGATCACATAACAGGAACTTAATATGTATTTGTTAATTAATTTATTTTACTTTCTACTAGGGCCATCTTTTAGTCTCTTGCTGGATTTTTTTCCCCCCATATGGGTATTTAATATTTTTCCATCAACTGTAACTAGCGGCAATCATGAGAGTTCACACTGAATATTTTCATTCCTTTGGTAATTTCTTCTTTTCTAATGCCTTAAAAATTACCCTGTGGATCAATAACCTAACATTTTATCTTTCTTTAAGTGTGTTTAAAAATTTTTTCACCTGATGCTTCAGTATAAATTCCACAAAATTGAACCCAAAAAGTAATGCATATATATATATTACGTATATCTGTTAAATAGGTATAGATCTCTACTATACCTCTTCATTGTGAATATATAAAATGTGAATTTTCTTTTCTTTTCTTTTTTTTTGGAGACAAGGTCTCACTCTATCCCAGGCTGGAGTGCAGTGGTGTGATCATGGTATCACGGCTCACTGTAGTCTTGACCTCCTGGGCTGAAGCAGTCCTCCCACCCCAGCCTCCTGAGCAGCTGGGACTACAGGTGCATATCACTATGCCTGGCTAATTTTTTTAATTTTTTTGTAGGGATGAGGTCTCACTATGTTGCCCAGGCTGGATGAGTCTTCAAAATGCTATGTTTGAAAAGTCCTCAGGAAATGATTTTTCTGTGCATATTTGGCTTACTAATTTGTTTGTAAGGAAGTTCAATGGATTGAAAAACTGCCTAGTTTTCTACCATTCACATTTCTTTGTCAAATGCTTTTGACTTCTAGTTTTCTTTTACTCCCCAACTATGGATGAGAAGAGAAGAATGGTTAGAGACAGGAACTCCCTGCAAGCAGATAAAGTTGTAGTAGTATTACTGGAAGCTTCTTTCTCATCTGCTTGACCTGACTTAATATAAAAATAGGGTCTTACAGTATCAAAGTGCCTTGGAATAGAAGAGTTTAGATGAGTTATTTTTATTCTGCTTTGGAACTCATTAGATAAATATTTTAAATATTCTCTATGGCTCCTTCAGATGTGTTATTTCACAGGCATGCATTACATCATCAGTATAGAATATACAAGTATAATACAATTTCTCTCATACCCTATCACCAAGATGCTAATATGTTTATATACTCAATCATACATATGTCTTATATAAACACATGTGGCGATACTAAGAGATGAAGATATGCTGCTGCAAATTCTTCTTGGAACAAAGGTATAAATAAATAAAAGTTATATATCATCTAGTTTTAAACACTCAAAAATAGTAGGGTAGTCATACATGAATGGTTATTTGATTTAATGTTTAGGTAGAATATTAAGTGAGTAGAGGAGAGGGGCCTCGTCTGCAGAGTAGCCACACAGTGTTAATAAGGATGAGAATAGTTTTAATATTAACTAAAAGTCACAATAATTTTATGATACTTTTTAATGATACTTTTTGTTTGGTATACAAATGACATAGAGCCATTTATAAAAAGCTGATACTTCCTTATAGCTTGACTTTATTTGGTTTTGTTCTCATAGATGTTTTCTCCCAGATGTCAGATTCCAATGGCTTAATGATATTTAGCAAGTTTGACCAGTTTCTGAAGGAAGTTCTGAAGCTCCCAACAGCTGTCTTTGAAGGGCCATCTTTTGGTTACACAGAGCACTCAGTCCGCACCTGTTTTCCACAGCAGGTAAGGACAGTTTTATAGAATCTAGGGCTAGAAGAGCGCTCTTCCCTCTCTTCACCTTCTAATAGATTTTGCCAAATTGCTTCCAGTCTAGTAAGGTCTTGAGTAGGGGAGGAAAAAAGCTTTAAAGGTGGTGGTGGGGAGTGGATGAGTAAAACCGGCGGGTAAAAATTCACCTGAAAACTCTTTTATGGGGGAACGTGGGGGTGGGGTGGGGGGGGGTGTCTTTTCGGAAAAAAATGAAATATTTTAAAGCAAAATGTTTAAGAACAAGTGTGTACATTTTTGTTACAGGACATATATTACTTTTTCAGAGGAGTTCTTGAAACCATGAGATAAGGGAATCTTGATATAAAACTGTGTAACTGTACTGCATTGTTTCCTGAGTGCTGGTGACAGGGAACACTATACAGCTCTCACCTGCCAGTATAAAATCCCTCAAGGGTACACTACCATTTTCATGTTAGAAAAAGATGGATTTTATTTCCTTCTGGTGGTTTTGACCGAGAGGCTGGAATGAGTGCGTTCCTGAAATCTTAACCATGCTTCAGAGAACTGTCTACACCTAGTAAATGGATGCTACAGCCAGTGTCCATGCCTCAGCCAGAGGATAGACACTGGCTGCAGCATCCATTTGTTAAGGTAGAGATTAGATCAAAGAAGCTTAATGTTAAACTTACCTAGAAAATTCTGGAAAGGAATTTAAAAACACTTTGCTAAAACTAATAGGTAAAAAAATTAATGGAAACAGGATATTGACATAGTCTAAAAGTATCTCCCCATAAGATATTTATTAATTACAAAAAGAACATAGTAACTTTACAGTGGAGAAACTGATCAGATATCACTTTACCAAGTGATCAAAATCCCTATCACCACTAAAGGGATAAACTGATACCGCCTGCCTCCTGATAGGACGCGTTGAGAAGTACTCAATATCACTTCTCCGGTAACTCCTGCCAAGAAAGCATAAGCTGAATCTCATCCCAAGGAAACATCAGACAAACTCCAACAAAGGAATTTCTACAACCTAACTGGCCTTTACGCTTCAAAAGTGTCAATAATAGGAAAGATTAAAAAAGACGAAGAAATGTTCTAGGTAAAAAGAGTTTAAAGAGACGTGAAAAACTGAATGAACTCACAAGCCAGGATTTTCTGTTGCTATAACGGACGTTATTGGGACAATTGGAAAAATCTAAATAAAGTTTATAGACTGGATGATAGTATTGCGTCAGTGAATGTTAACTTCCTGATTTTGATATTTGTACGTCATTATTTAAGAGCATGTCCTGTGTTTTAAAACATTTGATCTGAACTATTTAAGGATAAAGGAGCATCCTTCTGCAGTGTTAACATTTGAGGAATCTTGGTTCAGGAAAAATGGGAATTTTTTGGTAATCTGAGAACTTTTTTGTAAGTCTGAAAATTGTTGAAAGATAAAAAGCTAAACTATAAAAGGAACACATTTAAAGGTTTGAGAACTGAAAGGATGTTGTAAACTAGATCCTCCTGACCTGTGATACTCTGATTCAAAAAAGAATGAAAAACACATACACACATGCCCCCCTCCCCACCTACATACTTTTTTACATTTTAACTTAAGAATTCATGGTTATTTGAATTCAGACTTTCAAATAGTTTTTAGTTTCTTTAGAGGTTATTCAGCTTTAGCATTGAAGGTGGCACCCATGATAATGGAGAATTATTTTTAGTAACATCTGAGGAGATATTCTTCCCAAATTTGCGTATACTTTGCCTGATTGGTTTTGTGCAGATTTGCCTGTATGCACTGTTTATTTTTTCTTTCAGCATAAATGGCAATCAGCATCAGCTTTTAGCATATTAAAAATATCTCTGTGCTTCAGTTTATTCTAATGAAACATAGTTCACATTCCCCCCCTCCCCGCCCTCCAAATATGCGTTTTCAAATGATATGAGGTTGTCTGAACATAATCCTGGTACAAGAATGCCCTTCAGGTATTAATGTGCCCTTCAGGGATGTAAGTGAAGATGAGTATGATGAAGTCACAGCTCGGAGCCCCTCTCACTGCTGCTCCTGCTGCTGCCTTAGAGGTATCATCACCTTCCATGGTGGCCCACACAATATTCTGGGGTAATCTTGTGTATGATGTTCACGTGGCTTTTCACACAAGATGCTTCCTGGAGGTCAGGCTAAAGTGGATCAAGTTCTGGAATGGTACTCTTAAGCAAAACTGTATTGGAACGGGGAAGGGAATTTACACAAAGAACTATTCAGTGATGAACATTGAGAAATGGATGACAGTTATGTGGGGGTACTAAACCTAATCTTTAATTTAATTGCAACGTGAGTATTCTGATGATCAGAATACTGTTGATAATAACAGTTATTAATACTGTTGGAATAACAGTTTAAAATGTTGAAGAAATTTTAAAAAGTACAGCTGTTAATTCTAAGAATGCTATCTAGGATTCTGCAAATTAACCTTATGACATACATTTGAACTCACAACGTGATCATTACTTTTTACCTGCTTCATTCATATTCCTGTAAAAAAAATCAATCTGCATTTTTGTATGTGTCAAATTTGGAAAAGAGAAGTTTATCCCAGTCCATGAAAATGTAAAAAAAAAAAAAAAAAAAAAAAACCCTCAGAGGAAATAGAAATCACTCATAGAATATACTGATATATTGACCAAGAAATGAGACAGCTTGGACAAAGTTTCATGCTGCAAGAGTTAAATTCAATGAGTTTTTCGTTCCTTTTTGAAAATGGGCTTTTCTCATTCAGTTTGTTTTGCTTCAGTATGTGTTTCCTTAATGGGAATCAGATAGAAAACAATGTTGATACAAATTAGAAATTGCGTTGTTTTTTCATATGCACTTTTCCCCAGCATTTTGATGTTCTGTGCTGAACAAAAAAGTGATCACAATTAAAGAGAAAGTATGACTATTTTAAGAAAGGGGATGAAAATCTTGCAGTACCTTCCTTTAGGGAGAGAAGTGACTGGTTTCAAGGACCCATGAGCTGCTTCGCCTTGTGCAGTGCTGTGATGATGAAGCTGCAGCTGAGTGAAGAGGCTGTGAAGACGTTTTGCTCCTGTGCTCACATGATCGATGGACAGAATTAAGCTTTCCCCTGGATCCGATACCTAGTTTTGATGAAACCGATCTGTTTTGGAAGTTGTGTGCTCGTCTCACGAAGAAGGAAATCAGTGGCTCAGGATTGAAGGCGGAAAGACACCATCTGACAGTGACTTCAGTGCATGCGCCTGGGGGGATTTAGTTGGGCCGATTATTTTGTTTGTCCTCTATGTACAAAGCCATCTAGATTTTTAGTGGTTGTTCCAACTCTGTTTTCCTCATATGCCTTATGATTTTTAAGTCCACAGTGTTGTACTCTGCACACCTTTCCGTTACAGCATTTTGATGTAAAGAAATTTTAGCTTCTTAATGTAACACATTACAGCAGAAATTTTTTTTTTAATGATATGAAGAGAATTACACATTGGTTTATTTTAATATAGTTTTAATTCTTTTTTAAAACACATTTTTTTTTTTTGGCTTGGAAAACTAACCCAAAATAAAGTCTGTGGATTATGTAATTTAGTTGTTTTTAAAACACAAGAGAAATAAAATGCGTTTATAAGTTAATTCAGCAGAACCCATCTATTAGGATAGCTAAAATTAAATACTGATTTCAAGTATTGGTAAAGATATTTGGAACATCCAGTACTCTCAACAAACTGCAAGAAGCCTTGGTGGTTTCTTAATAAAACTAATCTGACACCTCCTCATGACCTAGCAATTAAATTAAAACCTAATCCTAGGTTTTAAGACTTTTCAGGGGTGCTCTTATCAACTATATTCATACTAGCCCCAAACCGGAAGCATCCTGGATGTCCATTATTTTAAAAAAGTTGGGGAAAAGTTAATTTAAGAGATAGTATGTCTAGAATTTGCCCCAAAATAATGAAGTTTGGAGGGAAAGTAAAAGCAAAAATGAAACCAAATTAGTCATTTGTTAAGAACTGTTGAAGCTGGATAGGCTTTTTTTTTTTTTTTTTTTTTGAGATGGAGTCTCACTCTGTTGCCCACGCTGGAGTACATTGGCACAATCTTGGCTCACTGCAACCTCTGCCTCCCAGGTTCAAGTGATTCTCCTGCCTCAGCCTCCCAAGTAGCTGGGATTACAGGTGCCTGCCACCACGCCCGGCTAATTTTTGTATTTTTAGTAGAGATGGGGTTTCACCAGGTTGACTAGGCTGATCTCGACCTCCTGATCTCAGGTGATTCTCCTGCCTCGGCCACCCAAAGTGCTGGGATTGCAGGTGTGAGCCAATGTGCCTGGCTGGGATGGGCATATTATACTATTCTCTCTACTTTGATATATTTTTAAGAATTGTAATAATAGAAAAATTGTCATTGCAAATTTGTGATTGTGATTATTATCTGAACATAGTACAGTACTGTTATAGCACCCCAAGACTAATACTTTGCTGAGTAGCCCAGATATATTAACATTCTTCAGGGTTTACAAACTAACTGACTTTCAAGGCTTAAAAGTTATTTAAAATAAGCAGTAAATGTATTTAAATTTCTCCCCAAAGTTTCCGAACTTTAGGGTTCTGAAAAGTGCAATATTTCTCCTTAGAAAGGAGATGCTATTTGTTATTTATTAGATCTTCATATTGATGGCATCTGTGGCCCGTCTAGAACGGCCACTGCCACGATGCTGGCTGCATTGGGGGAGGCAGTGGGACAGGGCTGCCTGCTCCATAGAGCTGGCGGGAGCCAGGAACAGGCTGAAGCTCCACCCTATTCTCAGTTGACAGGGTGGGAGCTTTGCCTTCCCCGGGCGCAGCTGCAGCCAGTCAAGCCATGACTGCAGACCGGGTATCTCTGCACTGTCAGGAGCCTGGGAAGGCTGCCCTTGCCCCCGCAGGCTTGGAGGTGTCTGCTCCCACTGCCTGGCCTCTCCCTGCTCCCAACGCCTGCTCCAGTGTCAGAGCGAGGCTCAGGC